CTCACAGGGTTGTTGGAAGTGGATCAATCAGGATAAGGATGTTTGATGGAGTTAAATGAGTACTGAAAAATGTCAGGTACGTACCAGTGCTCAAAAGAAATCTGATTTCTTTAGGTACACTGGGATCACATTTCTCTTCAACTACAATCTTTCAAGCTCAATTTTGCCAAACCTCCCAATTGATGGGCTCCTTTCATACAAGGAGTTAGGAAAAGGGGTTGTACTCCCTTATCAGAAGAACCATGATTGCTAAGTTTATGTACTGTTTGGACTTAGCAGACTCAAGCAAGGGCTGAGAGACCCTCAGGGGTCAGGTTGAGGGAATCTTTACTTCGAAACTTCTCAATTGAGGTAAGTAGTATTTCGAGCCAAAACGAGCAGAACGCGAAAGAACAAATCTTTGTTCGTGTTTGGCTCGTTAACTTCGCGAACAAGCCGAACACGAGCTGTTCGCGAACGTGCCGTTTTGACAATTGTATTTCTAAGCTGTATGGATATGAAGTTTGAATTTGATTCAAGTTATGTTGTGTGAAAACAAGGGAAGAGATCTTAAGCTACCACGAAAGAGGAGATAATAGCTAGAGAGCTAGAGAGGAGGAGAGCATCTCAAGGTGTCGCTTGAGAGGGAGGTCATAGAAGAAAGATGAGGGCTCATCTCTATGTATAAGCTATGTATTCTCCATTTCTTTTGCCTTGGTGAACTATTTGATTGATTCCCTTCCGTGGACGTAGATCTAGTTGGATCGAACCACGTAAACGTTCTGTGTTTGCTTGTGTTCTTTTTCGTCTCATTTCTATGCCAGGAAGTACATATCTTACAACAAAAATTATTAAAAAAAAACTTCAGAAGAGATGATTTGACATTATAAACATAGAAATAAAGATGGTTTGTTACGACACTCAATTGATTGGAGATGCATGGAAATCTTTCTGACTCTATATCCTGATTTTGCATTGGACCCACATAATATTCGACTTGTCTTGACATCACATGATTTTAATTCTTTCAAGTTCATGAGTAGTGTATATTGTATTTGGTCTATCATTTTAACTTCTTATAACATGTCTCATTGAATTGGAATGGAATATACATCTTTTATTCTATCTACAATCATATCTGGAGAGACAGGTCCTGAAAATAATATTGATGTTTATTTACAACCATTAATACAAGCACTTATTGAATTATAACATGGAGTACCAAGTTATGATGGTGCTGGTGAACATAATTTTAATAGGTGTGCAATGCTAATGAGGTCAATTAATGATTTTCCAGCATATGCCATGCTATCTGAATGGGGTATTAAAGATAGATTTGCTTGACCTTGCTATGCCAAAAATACAGAATCTTTATGGTTGTATAAGATTTAAAAAAATTCATACATGTGCAATCGTCGTTAGCTACTTCCTAATCACATAATTCATTGATAAAAAAAAAAGTTTGATAACACGGAGGAGATGAGAACTGCACCACATCAAATGAGGGGTTGTCAAGTTTTTTCAGAAGTTCTTGACTTTCAGAATACTTTTGACAAAGACAATAAAGGCAAAAAGACTTTAAAGTGGAAAAACACTATGATGATAAGTGAGCAGTTGCAAAATTCAATCATATGGAAGAAAGAAGAAAAAAAAAGCATTTTTTTTGTTTACATTATTGGAAGTACAACATATTACAACACAATTAAGATGTCATGCACATAAAAAGAATATTTGTGAAAATTTTATTGTGACTTTATTGGTTCTTGAGAAATCCAAAGATAATCCACAGGCGCAACAAGGTTTAAGTGACATTGGAGTGAGGATTGATTTGGATTCTTTTGTTAATGAGAATGGTTGATACATTTTGTCGCCAACAATGTTCATAGTATCAAAGAAACAAAAATTGATGCTTTTTGAACTCCTTAAGAAAGTGAAAGTCCCCAAAGGCTATGCGTCAAATATCTCTAGAGTTGTAAACATCAACAAATGTAAATTAATAGGTTTAAAAAGTTGTGAGTGTCACGTTCTTAATGAAGATGTTCTCCCAATTGCATTGACATGTTCTGCACCTTTAGATGTATTAATGAGTAATATAGTGAAAATATCAAAATTTTTAAAAGCTATATGCGCTAAGATCATTGATCCAAGTAAATTGGAAAAGTTACAGAATAACATTGTATTGACACTATGCCAAATGGAGAAAATGTTTCTTTCCCTCGTTCTTTACAATTATGATTCATTTACTTGTTCATTTAGTTGAAGTAAAACTTGTCGGTCATATGCAATATAGATAAATGCACCCATTTGAAAGGTAAGTTGTGATTATTATTTTCTTAAAATTTTAATTTATTTATTTACTTACACAAATTGTATATGTGAATACGATTTTTCTATTATTAAAAGCTTACATTAACAATAAAGCACAACATGAAGGATCAATTACGGAGGGTTATATTGCTGAGGAAGCAATATCTTTTTGTTCTAAGTATCTAGAGGGATTTGATGTTCCGCTTAAATCAACTGAGATTTTTTTATCTTATAAGTTTTCTAGTGGTGCAATGTCTTTAGGTAAGTTTACGTTAGTTCTACGGGAGGTGGCTCCATCGCTGGTCCGCTAGGATGGTCAATAAGAACTCCTAAAGCTAGATCCTAGGTTCTAAGAGTAGGAGACTAAGACCTCACCAAAAATGAGGTCAACACATACACATCTCACACCTTATGTTCTTGAGAAGCTTGTGAATGGACGTCAACATACACACCTCACACCTTATGTTCTTGAGAAGCTTGTGAATGGAAACTTTCATTATTGATTTAACGATAGAGAAAGTTTTTAATATTTCATATTTATTCAACATTCAAAATAAATATTTTTTGATAAATTTATTGTCTTGTAGGTTATGCGCTATGATACATCGCAAAGTGATGAACTTAAGGTGTTTACTATGGTCTTAATAAAATAGAAAAAAACCATAAAGAACTTTTTATAAATGGATACAGCTTTCATAGTAGAGATCCTGATGAAAATAGGATGACTCAAAATTATGATGTCGTTAACATTACAAAACTTGAGAGGTTTTGCTATTATGGGAGGTTGACTGATATCATTGACTTAAATTATTTTGATTTATTTTGAATTGTGTTATTCAAATGTGAATGGGCAAGTACATATGCAAATGATACGAAGTTAGATCAATTTAGAAGTCTTTTAGTGAAATTCTCACATTTAATTCATACTGGACAGAAACTGGAGCATGACGCATTAATTTTCTCATCTCAAGTAGAACTTGCTTTTTACATACAAGACTCTCGAAATACGAATTGAAATTTTATTATTTGTGTTAAACCTAGAGATGTATCATTCAAATGTCGTACAAATTTAATGTAAGACAACAAGAAATATTCAGGCAATTATCTAAAATGTAACTTTGTTCATTTTCAATAGTTTGCTTCATTTTGTTATGTTCATTTATTAGCATATCACATTACTTATGTTATACTGCAGAGAAACTGGAGCATGACCCATTAATTTTCTCATCTCAAGTAGAACTTGCTTTTTACATACAAGACTCTCGAAATACGAATTGAAATTTTATTATTTGTGTTAAACCTAGAGATGTATCATTCAAATGTCGTACAAATTTAATGTAAGACAACAAGAAATATTCAGGCAATTATCTAAAATGTAACTTTGTTCATTTTCAATAGTTTGCTTCATTTTGTTATGTTCATTTATTAGCATATCACATTACTTATGTTTCATTTTCTTGTTTGAAGATAAAAAAAAGTGAAGTTTGTGGGCTCCTCCATACTTCTTATGGATTTGATTTTTTTTTATTTGAAGAAGAAATTGGTGACGTTTTGAATCTAACGTTTTCATTCATTGTGATTTTTTTTTGTTCTTATGCTTATTTTTTGTAATAATTACAATCTTAGTCATAGAAGATTAGAGGTAACTTGCACTATCATTTTTTCTTTACTATTTTTTGTTTATTTTCATTTACATATTATTATTATTAGTCTTATTTGTTTCATTTTAATTAGTAGGAATGGCTAGTGGTTCACCAAAACGTGCAAGAAAGGTAATTTTCATTCAAAGTAGAGCAAATGAAACAAGAAGCAAAGCGTATGAAACACAATCTCCATCGCATGGTGAGTCCGGGGAGCAAGATTACAATGAACCACATGCACTACAGTCAGAAGATGGGGTTTGCTTTCTGGTATGTGGTGTTACCTTTTGATTTATAAATGCTTAGTTTAAAAAACCTACAAATTGAAGTTTCTATTTTAATTTGCACTCTATTAATGATAGTCTTATTTGTTTACTATTCTAATTTGCACTTGATTATCTTATTAAATATATTTGTTTACTTTAGTAATTTTCACTTTTATTACAGTTAGCCTTTTTTATTTAATTTCAATTTCCAGGAATGACGAGTGGTTCATTGGTAAGACGTACAAAAAATGTAATTTGTAGAGGTGGTAAGCAAAGGAAGAAGAAACCGAGCACAGGAACACAATCTCCACCACTTGGAGAGCTTATTGAGCGAGATTCCAATGAACCACATGCACAGCGACCTGAAGATGGGGTTTCACTTTCTAGTATGTGGTGTGACCATCTGATTTATAAATGCTTAGTTTAAAAAAAACTCACACATTAAAGTTCATATTTTAATTTGCACTCTGTTAGTGATAGCCTTATTTGTTTACAATTCTAATTTACACGTTATTATCTTATGAAATATATGTGTTTACTTTAATAATTTTCACTTTTATCATAGTTAGCATTTTTTTGTTTCAGTTCAATTTGCAGGAATGACTGGTGGTTCATCAATAAGACGTACAAAAAATGTAATTTGCAGAGGTGAGTTAAGCAATGAAATAAGAAATCGAGCACCGGAAACTCAGTCTCCACCGCTTGGTGAGTCTGTGGAGAAACATTACAATGAACTGCATAAACCACGGCTAGAAGATGGGGTTTCACTTTCTGGTATGTGATGTAAATTTCTAATTTATAAACACTTAATTTAAAAAAACCTACAAGTTAAAGCTCATATTTTAGTTTGCATTCTATTATTTGTATTCTTATTTGTTTACTGTTATAATTTGCTCTTTAGGATCTTATAAATATATATGTGTTTATTTTTTTAATTTATAATTTTATTATAAACAGCCTTATTTATTTCATTTTAATTTGCACTTTTATTATTCATTAGTCTTATTTTTTATTAATAATTCATCATTAAGTCGTGCAAAAAAATTAATTTCCAAAAGTGGGTCAAGAAAGGGAATAAGTAGCAGAACACATAAAACACGGTCCACTCTACCACACAGTGAGTCAGAGGAACAAGATTATAGCGAACAACATGTGCCACAATTAGAAGATGGGGTTTGGATTTTGAGTGTGTGATGTAATCTTATCAATTATATGTGCTTAGTTTATACAATCAATATTCTAATAATCTAGTTAATTTTATCAATCTTTTCTTAGATGAGCAAAGAGCTTTTATGAGACGTAGGGGGCGCACAACCTTTGCTGACTTTCAAAATTTACCACCAGAAACACAAGTTCAAATTGATATTAATGATAACATAATACCTTGCAACATCCTCAAGTATGATGTACTTGGGTCATGTATAGGTGTCATTGCCAGAGATTTAGTTTTAGCGCATTTATTGTTCTCAAACTGGAGGAAAGAAGGTATGGAGCCCTTCAAGAAGAAGATGCTAGCAGAGATGAGGTAAATTCATGAATCGAATAAAATTATGATATTATTTTGTTGCTAAATAAATATTCTATCTGTGATTAATTTCGTAGTCTAAATTTAAATTTCCTGCATACGACATTAAATTCTACGTTCTCTTGCCGTGAAATGGTGTAATCATAAGGCAAGCTTGAAGGCTGAGCATTGGGATAGTCGTCCGATTGGAGAAATACTGGAGGATGTCCTTGAGGACATAGATGCATTATAATGGTGTCATTTTGTGTCACAATGGTCAAAACCAGATGATTTAAGTGAGAAGTATAATTTAACTTCTTAGGTAGTATTTATAATAATATAATAAATGTATTTGTTTTATGAAAAAGCAGCAAAGAATACTAAGAATGCTAATGAGTAGTTATGTCCCCATAAAATTGATCTCGTATGAGTTGTGTGTGGAGACAAAAAGAATTGGCATTATATTTAACTTCTCTCTAACATATTGTCAATTTTAAATTATAAACTAATTAGACTAATGTTTTTTGTTTAAGGCAATTCAAGATAGATTGTTACTATGGAGAGTGTCTATGAGTATATGCAATATTTAGTGAATTAAATTAGTGTTTAAGGCAATTCAGATGTCGAAGAGAGATAGGTAACATGTATTTAACTTAATTATGAGTAAATTCAAATCAATTTATGAGTATATGCAATATTTAGTGAATTAAATTAGTGTTTAAGGCAATTCAGATGTCGAAGAGAGATAGGTAACATTTATTTAACTTAATTATGAGTAAATTCAAATCAATTTTTCACTTTGGTTGTAAAATTTTAATTTCTGATAATGTAGATCAGAGCATATGCAATACTTAGTGAAGGAGTTTTAACATTAGAAGATCGAAACATAAAAAGAAACATAAAAAAGAAATGAGAGGGTTTTTCTAACAGTTATGGGGCCTGAACGAGTACGTACACAAAATTTTGGTGTATTCCAAGTAGCTATTTTCCTTATAGCACTATTACTTAGGGCGAAAGTAGCATTGATAGTAGCTTCCGTCGAGTTACTAGGTAAGACAATAGATTCGATAAAGATATGCAGACTATACGATCTGAAATGTGATAGTTCATGCATCAGATTTAGATGAATTATCCACCACCAGGTGGATCAAATTTGGTAAGCATTTTATTTCTATAATTAGCTATAATAATATTAATAATTAATTATGTAAGTCTTACTTGCAAGTTTGCAATGATAATGCTTCTTACGTCTGATATCACAGGTGGATGATATGAATTTAACATTCAGTTATGCTATGTTTTATTTATATTAGCAGTGTTTTTGTAGAATAGTTTCTTATCTTTTATGTTATGCTTTTTATTATGAATGTTTGTCATGCAAGGGTTTTATGAAACTTTGGTTTTTGATTAATATATTTAGTTATTTATGACCTCTTTGAATATTTATCACTTTTGACCAGATAGATTGAAACTTCAATTGTTGGGATGGTATGAGTTTACTAGTTTGTTTTATCTTTCATCTCGTATGTATATAGAATTCCTTTCTTGATACTCTTGCTTGAATATGTATGTTTTGAGTTTTCTTGGATTGATACAACCAAAAGATAACAATGTTGTTTTGAAGAAAATACGGATGCTATAAATTAGTATTTCTTTGATGTCTGCAGAACGAGTGTATTCTTGTGAATGTCTATTTTTTACTTATATTGTATATATTAATCATGTATTATTTTGATTGTAACAACAAAGGAAAATAATTTTTTTTAATATGTATTATACGAGCGGTTATAAGCACTGCAACATTCTTAAAATTTAAGTAATTTTTCTTCATATTACCAGCGTTGCTAACTTATAGAGTGTCCCAGCACATATAAGCGTTGTCATATATATTGTTGCAGATACACTCTCTCGCCGCTTCCCACAAAAAATCTTAATGACACTAAGGGACCGTTTGGAGCAGCTTATAAGTGAGGGCAGCGTTTTTAAAACGCCACCGTACCGTTTGGTTCGTGCGTTTCGCCAGCTTATCCGAAACCGCGAGTTCTTACACTAAACGTAGACCGCGGGCTGAACCCTACGGCCCAACCGCGTGCCGCTTTTCAGGATAAACAGCTTATCCTGAAACACACAAGCTGCCCCAAACACACCATAAGTAAAAACATTGCTTCTGTAGCGCTTTTAGAAGCGCTGCAACAAGCAATTAGTAGGTTTTATAAGTGTTGCGAAAGCTTCAAAAAAATGCTGCAGAAAAAAAAATTTTTTTTTTCTTTTTTTGGTAGTGAACCATTATGGTCTAGCATCTTTTACATAAATTTCATCTTTTTATCCAAACCCATGTTAAGTTCTTACGGTTACTTTACAGGCGAATATATATATACATATATATATTTGATAGTAAATTCTTCATTCAGCAAACCAACCAAACAACACTAATAGTTTATTCGTTAAGAAAAGCTCTAATTTAAATGCTGGATCAGCACACTGAAGTTCATCACTAATATTAACTTTATTCTCGATTCAACACATAATAAAAAATAAAGTTAAATATATTATTCCCAATACTTCACACAGCATTATCTTCATTTAGGCCTTTTACAACATACCACCCAATTTCTATGTATTTACACATCAACACCTAAACTTCATTTTAATATTCATATTGCATAAAAAATATCATCTTCTTAACTTATAGATAAGATGATATATATATATAT